ACTTGCTCAAAAACCCGGAAAAACCACTTTTGTAACCAAAAGCAATACAGATTCTGGAAGTAGACACTTCAGGCTATCTTTTCATGTGCGTATCTCAAAACCGATTTTTTGACCGAAAATCACCATTTCTGAGGGGAGAGGGCCCTTAAAGAAAAAGGCTATCTCAATATATAACCATTCTCCATAATGATAGAAAGGACATGTGCACTTTTCTTTTAAAAATGGTGGGAAAAGTTATTCACACAGAAGACCACATGAATGAGCTAAACACGAATATGTAATCCATTTTCGCTGGGGATCTAACGCCTAAGAAATAATTCATAGTCAAATTTATTTAATTTCAATGAGTAAAAATAACAGTTCTAAGATTAAAATGTATCAACTTTTTCTATATTTTCTTTTCGAAACTTCATTTCTATCAATCAATTCTACTTTTCGGCTTGTCCTCAGGTAGCACAATGACACATTTTCAATATCAACGCTTATTTTCTCACACTTAGGAGCAGGAATAAAAGCGAATGTTGCATTATTTTACAGATCCTCATGGCTTCTATAAGAGATGTAAAAAGGTTTGAAGTATAACCTATCATTCAAATACTGCAGCGTTTATATGGTCGGCAACGTGATGACATTTTTAACCTTTTTCTGCCATCGCATTACAGTTTTCTCGGTTTTTATTTAATTAATACAGATGAAATGAGCTAGTTTTAATATTTAAAAACTATTACAACCTGTAGAGCAAACAATTTTCTATAACCTGATATACTTATTGAATTTTCGCCTGCTCGTCGTCACGCTTTTAAACTCCTTTTCCAGATAACTCCAAAATTGATATTTTGGGCTATTCGTACAACAGCTGTATTTTCATAATGAATCAACTTCCATAGCCAAGACACTTCTTATTTTATAGAGAGATGTGTAATCTATTTGGAACCTTAGATTAGTTTGTAGTTTTATTGCAAGAATTTTTTGAAAACGAGCAAAAAGGGGACCGTTAGCTGGACAAACCGTTTTCAGATTGTGCAAGTCTATTAAATATCGTTAAATAAATACTTGTAGTTTTTTATAAAGTGTTCACCGTTTAACAAAATAGAAAGAATACCGGCAATAACAAGAACAACAATAATACTAACTGATATAAGTGGACATGAATCACACCAAAATATTATTGCTAAAAAAAAACGATCTTCAACAAACACAAGAGCATCAATATTAAACTAATATTATATATAAGATGACTTTTTCTAGGAAATAAAATGTCTTTTTATTTATTGAAAACCATGACGAAAAAACATGTATAAAAAAAGATCAGTCAAAACTGGATACATGTCAATATAGTTTGAGAGTTTTTTAAACACTCAAAATATAAAAATATTTAATTTCATACAAATCACTGACAAACTGTAGCTTTAAGCTTCAACGATCCTATGAACGTTCAATGACACTTTATGACAAAATTAAAAGCAGACATGTGCGCCGATAAAATATTGTTCGGTGACGTTGAATTAATTTTTTGAACATCGAAGGCAATGGTGGAAGATTTTGAAAATTTCCTCTGCCTTCGGCTACGACGCACATCTCTGACTACGAATATTTTATTTAATGATATTTAATAGACTTGTACAATATGAAAAGTAGAATTGATTGCATATAAATGATATTTCGAAAAGTAAATGTAGATAAAATTTATAGGAAGAATCATTTTGATATTAAACATTAACGTATTCATTCTCAACTTAAATTGACTAAATGTTATTTAAAATAATTTTTTATTTTAACAAAACGTGACTAAACTTGTTAAAAGATTATTTATTGTGATGAACGATAGACATTTAAATAATAGAGCCAATAAATAATATTTAATATTAGAAAACACATGGGAAAAATAATTCTTGCATAAATATCTAATAAACTAATACTATTAATACCAAAACGATTTGCACTTTTACGCAATTGTTTTTTGTACTTTGTATCGCCTGATAAACATTTCCATAAACGTAGAAAAAAGAGAAATGCTGTTTGACGATTTAAAAATATATCTTTTTTCTTTCTCATATTATCATCACTAAGAATATCATCTTCATCGATTCTTGATTTTTGTAGACGAGCAACGCGTGGATAACATATTGACATACGTTGAAATGATGTTGATGTCACTCGACCATCAAATAAATCACATTCATTTGAACTAAATGATTCTTGAACACGAATAATTGGTTCACCATAGCCAAACTAAAAAGTTAAAAAAAAAAGAAAGAAAAAGAAAAGATAAAAATGATATTTAAAAGAGTTAATACGATTTATATAGATATACTTTAGTATAATAATGTACAAAAGCAAATTGTAATAGTGAAGCTAATAGAAATACATAACACATTGTTAAAAACCAATCGAGTGCCGTAAAATAGGAAACAACTGGAATATAACTTCTAATATCAAAACTTAATGTTGCCATGCTTAACACTGTCATCACACCTAGTAAAAAAAAGTTTTCTAATAAAAATTATATTTTTATATGAAGTTATTTATACTTGCCTATACATACACGATCAGCAGTCGCTTCTCGATGAATAAAAAATGATACCTTTAAAATAATAATATGAAGAATTTTGAGTGAAAGACACTAAAATAACTTTACCCAACTAAGCATTACTAACATAATACCAGGAACGTACACTTGTAGTACATAGTAACCCATATGTCTCTTTAAACAGAATTCTACACGTAATATGGAATAATTACCTATCAATAAGAAAAAATTTAAAAATACTTATTTATCATTAGGATCTGATCAATTAGCTCTAAATCCTGTAATGTTTTTCTTTACACTTTGTTTTTCTTATAAGTTTCGAACGCCGAGATGTCTAGAGTTCAAAGTCATCTTAGATTAAAGAGAGAACTGTGGCGTGGATTTTAAAATGTACCATTCCACTTTATACGATTTTTCGTTCAGAAAATATGATAAAAATATAAGCTTTTCTGACGAGTTTTCACAAGTAGATGTTTATCATATTTCAGTAAATATCAAAATCTTCAACACAGTTTTCTCTCGAATTTTTAAAACATCTCAGAGTTCTAAGCATTTTTTCATTCGAAACGTATAAAAAAAAACAAAAAACGATCATCATCGTAGAAACTAACGTTCATTTGTCTTCATAATTTCGTCGTATTGTGGATATTGTATTAAATCAAATTGTGATAAAACAACTTTCGTATCAAAATTAACAGATTTATTGTTTCCAAGACGCCATGTAAATTCCATATCGGTCAGAGAATTTGCAACTTAAAAATATAAATCAATTAACAGAGTATATTCTATTAATAGAATAGTCATTATTTTTTCTTACGTACAACTTCCGACTACTAAATCACATGTTTGAACATCAACTGGAAAATGTTTTAAATTCATGTTACATCGAGCTTTCACTGTTATTCTATATATAAATAAATTGAGATATATATATAAAATTTATTATTCATTATCTTAATAATCTTACCTTGATGAATACCATATTGTTCCATTGGGATATAAACGAATCAAACGATTACTAGTCGGAATTTTATGTAAATAAGAATGTTTTGAATTATGAAATACAGTATCTGGTCTCCAGAGTAATTCTAACATTTTCATTGATAATGACAATGTACCAACCCATTCAGGAAAATTTAATCTTGGATCTCGCCATTTTTGACGAAAATAACCTGTTATATAGTAAAAAATACATAAAATTCATTGTATTTTAGATAAGAAATCACATTTTAAGCTTACAATTCATGGTGTAACTCTATAATAAAAAAAAAAAAAAAAATCTATTAGGTACAATTATTATTTTTTATCACTAACCATATCAATATCGGAAATGGGACCAAAACTATTTACCAATATATCAAATAGAATTTCAATAGGTCCTTCTATAATAAATAAGATTATGATGTTATCGTCATAGAGATTTTTTTGTTTTCTATCTTATAAATACAAAACCTCCAAAATTTGGTCGTATTTGACGATCATAACCTTTGAGTAAATTATCTAAAATTTTTGTAACAATGAATGATTTTGTTTGATTTGTTGTTAATGAATCATCATTTGTATTGTTAACCATTTCTACTTTAATTGTAGTCATCCTTATAAATTGTAATATAAATATAAGACTGATATTGCAATAGTTCATCTTTCATCATATAATAATTAATTTTACTTGTAATTTGTTGAAAATAAAATTGTCGTAAGAGTGCTGAATACTGGAAAAAGAATTATTTTATATTTGTATAACATTGAGACAATGATTTATGTGTCTATGTTGGATCATGCATGATAATTGATTATCTTTTTCGACTGTAGGCTGGACAGGGAATACTCATTTTACAAGTAGATCGATAAATAATAGAATTATATACTAGTAAGTATTAAAAAAAAAAAAAAAAGAGAATATTTTTATATTATCATCTCTGTTTGTAATGTACCTTGTTCGTACTTTTTCTGACGTATTTATATTAAGACAGATCATGCACACTGTAGACTAGTTTCGAATATCTTCTCTATCTCAAGAAGATCACGTTTTCTCTCATCAATAATAATAATAATAATAATTTGTAAGATGATGAATAAAAATATATTTATTAAGAAGATATTTAAAGACTCAAATCTATTTCTGTTCTTAACAATGTTCCATTTTTATGTTTTATATAATGTTAAAGTCAGAGTTTGAATTGATTAATATCATTTCGTTTCTAACATATGTAGGATTCTTAGAAAAAATTTAAAACGATTGTCAACAATTGACATTGTGATTAAAGAGTAAATTTTGAGAAGAAGAAAAAAATGATCGAGAACTCTCACATTTCTTACCCATCAAAATTTGATTTAATTCAAGAAATTTGCTGAAAATCAGTGATTGTGGCTAAATTTTACACAGAACTAGAAAAAATTATTAATAAGATTATAAACTATTCTCTAAAGTTCTTCATACACGAAAAAAATGTTCAACACAATTATTACGATTAAAAACAACTATACATGAGATAAACACTAAAATTTCCCATGGATTTTTTTTACTCTTGATTAAATCTATAGATTTTTTTTTGTTCGAGTCTTTATTTTTACTTCTCTTGTTCTCGATCAATTAAGTCCAGATGCTTTATTTCAGAAAATATAAAGAAAAGTTGATACATTTTAATCTTAGAACTGTTATTTTTACTCATTGAAATTAAATAAATTTGACTATGAATTATTTCTTAGGCGTTAGATCCCCAGCGAAAATG